GCAGTCTGTAAATTATGTAAAGACTGAAATTATTTATCTGCATGCAAGTTTTTTTTTCTAATGTGAAGGGGAGTGTGTCTGCAGTGGTTGTATCGCTAATGGTTGGTTTCAGTGGAGCAGACTGAGTCGCTTGTTGGTTGTTAGCAAGTTAGCTCGACTGTTCACAGTAGGAACATTTGCCCGCTAATGACTTCTGAACCTTTCGACATCTCCAGTTGCTGCTGCTGGCTTTACTTCAACATCTTGACTCATGGTCATGTTATTTCCCACCCACACTGTGCTCTATAATAATCCATCCATCCAGCCCTTCCTGCTTTTTCTTTCACTTATCTGGGGTTGGATGCAGGTTAAGCAGGTCATTCCAGGCGTCCTTCCCTCCAGCAACACTTCCTCCTAAAGGATCCCAGGTCAGATGAGACGTGTAATCCCTCCAGAACATTGTTGATCTCCTCCATGTTTCCCAGAAAACCGCCAAGAGAAGACGTCCTAACCAGATGCCTGAGCCATCTCGTCTGGCTGCTTTTGATGCAGCTGCTTGTTTGCACCATCTCCAGGCTTTGGGTCTCCATCCAGAGCTCGTGACCGTAGCTGAGGGTGAATCAAGAGCTTCATCTTGTGGATCAGCTCAGTGTTTTCCATGATGGTGCGGTCCAAGGCTTGCATTACTGCTGCACCAAGCCATCTCCAGCTCCATTTTCCCGTCACTTGAGAACAAGATCCTGAGACACTTGAACTCCGTCACTTACGGCAACAACTTACCTCCAACCCAGAGGGAGCAATCCATCAGTTTCCATGGTCACACCACTGCACTGACCAGGGAGAGGTATTTAACAAAACCTCGACCACAATAGAACAAAAAGACAGAAACTGAAGGTGTTCATTCAATAAAATAAATACATTTAACCAAAGCAGGACTTCTGCTGGAAGCTTTTGTACATTTAACCTGAACTGTATAAACATCTGTGAAACCCAAACCCAACCAAGAGTAGCACCTCTACCTGAAGTCTAGCATCATGAATTACACATTACAAAGTTCACCAACAGCAGGGTCCATGTTTTAGCCCCCAGACCTGACAATGGGTAACGAGTGTCTCATGCAAACCCTCAGCAAACGGGCTGAACAGAGAGACACGTGGGCGAGCTGCACATTACATTAAAGCCAAACGATGGGGATTGATTGGAGGTCTGGACGAGGCTCTGGTCCAGGAACCAATCAGGAACCAGTCAGGTTCAGGGACAGGTTGTTACCAAAAGACAGCGACAGCAAAAAACAGAAAAAAAACTTCAACTTTACGATGGTCCTTGAACTAAACACGTGTGATGCACAGTTTCATCAGAAAATTTAACCAAATCTGAGCTTAGAATCGTAATATTTCCTCAAAATTACTTGTTTTTGTCACCAAAATTAAACTGTTGGGTGAAGCTGATACTGTAAAAAAACCAAACTTGAGCTCCTCGATGCAACCAAGAAGCCTTGAGTGACTCAAAAATGGAATGAACTTTCAACTTAACTGCAGGCTGTGTAAAGAAAAAAAAAGGGGGGTTAGATAAGATATTAGACTTTATTGCATCTTGAGATCACAAACAGGCTCAGAGACGAGGGTCAACCTTGGCGAAGCCCAACTCACACCCGTCATAAATACATGCAAATTGGATTTCTAGGTTGCACAAATTGGACACCCTCGAGTCTCGGCGCAAATGAATATTTATGAAACCGCGTGTCTGGATTTGATCTGAATTTAGGAGAAATTAAGTGACAGGTAATCGTCTAATTATGTTTTTATATTTTGAAATTCTTGACATATTCTGCAGGGTCCCACATTAACAAAGTGCACATCGGCTTTATTTTAAATTGGGTTTTTTTGTTGTTGACGGCTGGTAATAGCAGCCCAGATGTAGCTCCCATCTCACCTGTCAAACTGAGAATGTTCACTCCTCGGCTGTTGATTTCTGTTGCTTCATTATTCATTTCTGAAGTGCCTTTAGTTTTCTCCCCTTAGGTTATTTCTCGGCTGTGTTATTAATCTTAATCTCCTCTCCTGGAAGCCATGGGAAAAAAATATTCCTTTTTCTTTTTTTTTTGCTTTTATGTAACTGTAGACCAGAATACAGCTCCAGACAAATTGATTTCACAAACCCCGACACTGTACATCAGGTTGGTCCAAATGAGTGCCGCGGCTCCACTTTTAATCAAAACTCTTGAGTGTTGAATAGAAACTTTAATATATTATTAATTTGTGGTTTGTCTTCCGCAAGGTGTGGCTCAGCTCCAATTTATGATGAATTATTCTGTCAGTGAGATAAAAAAAAACACTCCTCAATCATCCATATCTGTTTCTCTGTTTCTCTGCTCTGGATTCATCATCACCAAATTGATTTTAAAGTTCCAGCGATTACTTGGCCCAGCAGTGTCTGACTGTTTACAGCTCGTCTCTTTATAAGCCTGAACGCGGCCGTAATTCTATAAAGTGTGGCCGGCGAGTCTCTCTTGCTTGAAATTGAGGTATAAATAAAAATTCTCTGCTTTAAACACTCCACAAAACAGCAACAAGCAGCTTTCCAGCGGCTGTCATGTTCCTGGTGCGGCTGCAGCAGAGTGTGGAAGTGGGAGAAACATTTTCATCAATCACGCACGATGGCCAATTTTGGGTGTCGGCTCATCAGAAACGAAGAAAACGGGGTTGCATGACAAACGCTGCTGCTGCTGCTGCTGCTTTAAAGCGGCGCTGAGCAGCCAGAGAGGATCCGTCGTCGAGGAAAGTGTGGGAGATTTTTCTCCATCGACATCAGCCAGACAGCAAGAAAACTGTTTTATGTCGGGATGCTTTCTGCCTTATTCCCCTTTGTCTTCATGCTCTCTTGCTTTTACGAGTGCTGCGGTTATTGCTGCCTTTTATTGCACCATCCGGCTAAGTGTGAAGCCGACGCGGCTGCAACAGGTTCTGTGGAACGTTATGGAAAAGCTATAAAGATATATGTTCAGGGTTTCATCAGAAAACAACAGTTTGGGGCATTGAAAGCTGCACAGTGGTGATATATTGAAAAGAGATGCACCTCTATGTTGGAAACTTTCCATTCTCCATCGTTTAACCCTCTGAAGCAGTTTCTGGGCATTTTTGTTAAAAAAATTTGCTCATTTTTCTCTGCAGTATAAAATCTTGCACCTCTTTGGAAACAGAGCAACCTTGATAAAGAAGAGAGAACTAAAACACATCTTATTTTTTTGCAGTATGACAGTTTAAAACCCATAAATCCTAAGAACAAAAGCAGAATTTCTTTATTTATTTTACAAAAATTAAAACCACCTGAAAGCTGCATGTACAACATGTATATTTTTCCAACTGTCCCAAAGATTTAACCAAGACGGGGAACAAACTGGGGCTCTACATACGACATATTTTGCTATTTACATTCTGAATTTGTCAACACTGCCTGCAGTTCAGCTGAAAACTCCCTGATTTTTTGTCACACGGCTGTTGGTCACAGTCGAGTCAGTCGTGGCTTCTTAGTTGCGGCAAGAAGTGCAGAATTTTTAGTTTTTTGTGCAATCAGGTTCATGCAAATAGTTTATTTTTTAGCTTTTTTTTTTTTCAATAAAACATGTAGAATAAAGTTATTCTGATTAAATATTAGAAGTCAAAGCTTGTGTGCATTTAGTTTCGACTGAACTGTACTTCACATGTTCGAGGTCAGTTAAAAGTTGAAAATCCAATGTTTTTTTCAGTTCTGACGGCTCCTGTTTGTGATGAATGGTGTCAGTTTAGCGATTTTTAAAATAAGATAAGATGCCTTTCAACCCAGCAGGTGGGTTTTGGGGCTCGGAGGGTTAAAGTTTTGAAATTTGAGGGTGCTTCGGTCATTTCAACATAACGTCGTGAAGGAAATCTGCAGTCGGCCCACGCTTTCCGTTTCATGTTTCATGGGGTAACTCCATCCGGTGCCCCAGAATTGATGCAGTGACATGTTCAGGCTGATTTCATCGCCGCTAACGCAGTCAGGGATTGTGCAGCCACAGTCTTATTTCATCCTCTGCCTTTGTTAACATCATCAAAACTACAAGGACAAAGAATATTTTATGCTACTTTCCTATTCAGGGAAAAAAGCGCGGTTAGTTAGCGACCCTTCAGGAAGTATCACTTCACGGTGCTTCTCGGCTCGGCAGCCTTTAGCAGTTCGTGCAAACCTATAATGAACTCTTACAGGTTCTATTCTTGGATTCAGCTTCGCCGCCGTTCGTCAAAAGGAATGAAAAAGACACTTCAGCTGTTGCATTTTTACTGTCGGACAGACGCGACTGTAATGAAGTCGCCTGCGTAACCTCCATAAACGTGTCATTTTTTTGATTTGAATCAGACGTTTGCTGCTCTGACACACGAGCAGGTGTCATGATGGGCTTTCGGGCTTTAAAGTGTAATGTCGCGTCCCCCCGGCGTCGCGTTGACGCCGCCGTGATATATTTCTGTTTTGAGCATCTGTTGTCGCTGCAATCAGCCATTAAACAGCGCTCGTGACAGCTAACATGAGCTATAAATTACCGCTGATAACAGCTCGTGCCGACCCCGGATTAATCCCAGCGAAGCTCTAATCCGCTGCTCCTCATGACCTATAGGTGCACATTGGCCTCATATAGACATTGTGTGTTGAACGGAGGATTAAAACTGTGCATCATAATCATATTAAGCTGTAGCATTAAGCTGGAATGCAAAATGTGCAGCTTGAACGTGATCTGACTTTGACATTTTGTGCACGTCTCTGGTAATTAAACCTATATGCTATGATACTACCAGCAGGTCATAATGCGCTGTATGATTTTACGACCTTATTGGCAGCGGTAGACGGCTGCACCGAGCTAAGTATGTGAGGGGTTTTCTTAAAATCTGCTTCACCGTGTGTCTCCTAAGTAAAGCAATTAGCTGTGTGAACATTACTTGACTTGCAGCACAGGAGATCATTCATTCACATTCATTTTTATAGTAGATTAGCATAAAATAAACACCCCGTAGTATAAAATGTTCTTTATTTTAATAGAATTTCCATCTGCCCAACCCTTCTGAAACAAGTATTTTAAGAGTTAATGAACACATTATCTTCAGAGCAGACCTTGACTGTGAAATTAATTAGACAACATAAAATCCTTATGAGGCATTAAACTCCATTTTACTCATAAATATCGGGTATTGCTCAGCTGAAAGCTGGAAAATGGGTTACTTAAGGCAACAAATTAACAATGTCGCCACTTTCAAGATGAACGGCGACGATATACGACCTCAGGACTTGGACGGAGTGCTCGCGCTCGCCGAGCTGCCAAATAGATAAACAAATTAACGTCGTCATATCGGATGATGAATTGTTAGTCTGGTGATTTTCAGACGTGCACTCCGGAAAGCAGTTTAACACTCTGTGTAAAAAACATTATACTGGATATTTAATCTGCTCTTTAGATTGTAATATGTTCAGAACCCACAGCCACCGAAAGCATTACTATTGTGCCATAGCGTAATGTACAAGGAAGGAATAAAATACAGAAAAAATATGTATAGCGCAACATGTCAATACATTTAATGACAAACTTACTCCGTTGGCTGAGAGCAGCACATACTCTGGCTTGTTTTTCTTATTCAGTGTGTTAACATGCACACTTGACCGGTTCAGGAAGTAGTCCAGGTACCAAAACGGTAAATTTGAACACCAGCTGACAGACTTCCTCCTCTGTGAGGACTAATGGAGATTCAAGCTGCTGTTTGAAGTTTTTTTTTAGACGTGATTTTCTCGAGGACAACAGTAGCAGAGTGCACAGAGAAAACTTCAAAACGCGGTTTAATGATGTTGAAAAAAATAGTTAAAAGGCCACCGCTCAGCGACACACGACGGGTGGTGAGGCACACTTACGCTTCCGTCTCGAACCCGCCAGCTCACTCCTAATACTTTTTAAATTTCACAGAAGCAAGATCTAAAAAAAATAAAATAAAATATCAATTTCTGGCAATATTACAGCACTCTGAATATTACGACCCCAAGTATGACCTTCAAATTTAGTCTCTGATTCCTCCATCTTTGTAATTTTCATGACTTGTTTCGTGAGTCATTGTTCTGTCAGGATGGGGCTGTGTGCGCCGCCTCACGTCTGTTTATCTAAAAGTAAAAATACTCATGTCGCACTTGTCAGTCGCTTGTTATGGGACAAAAAGAAACCTGCTTAGAACTTCAGGTGGCAGAACTTCAGCTCTCGTAGTGGCTTATTGTGCTTTGTACCTTCGTCAAAACAAAAACAAATGTCAAACAGGAACAAGATCCAACATTCGCTGCTGGTACAAAGATTATACCTGAAAGTGAAACTCCAGCTGTAATCCATGTGCTTTGATGGGGTGGCACACACTGCATGTCGGGTTGTGCGTGCATGTTAACATACTGATTGAGTATTGCCAATACAAATTTACAGAAATTTGAATATTTGAAATTCAACATTTGCTTTGAAAGATTCAGTCCCTGAAGTAAAAAAAAGAAAGAAAAAAAAAAAAGAAGGGTATAGTGTCAAGATGCGTTTTGCTGCTGTGCAATTTCTATCGCTCATAGACTGAGTACATATTCGAAGCAGGGACAGTATGCATCCCGACTGCAGTTTGTAAGCTTATAACCTCTTTTTTTTGTGTTGGTTTTGTTTTGAGGTTCACATGATTTTCATGTTGAATTGCACCGGTGCCTCGGTCGGACTGGCCTCCTCCGTCTCCTCTTTACGTGGCACATATTCAACCTCTATACTCGACTTGGTGTTGTCTTTCCCTCTACTCCAGAGGAACAATATTACAAGACAGAAGAGGACCACTCCGAGGAAAGAGATAAATCCCATGGTGGTCGCGATGATGAGAGTCTTTACGTCGAATGGGAACGGAACCGTGGCCCGGGTCACGTTGGCGCCTTCGTCGCTCGGCTGGTTGGAAATGAAGGCGAATGTCTTGTTGGGCTGGTGGGGCCAGTTCGGGGAGTAGCTGTGCACGAAAAGGTGAGCAGCTTTGGTGTCGTTGCCCGCTGCGTTGCTTGCAATGCACAAGTAGGTGCCATTGTCCTGGATTTGGGCGTAACGCACCTCCAGCGTCCCCTCATCGGTCACAGAAAGTCTTGATCCCATAGTTTTGGTAGTGATGTATTCCTTCTTGGGGGAAAGCCACATTATCACCGGCAGCGGATTGCCTTCGGCCTGGCAAGCGAAGTGGACCGTGGTACCCTCGTCCACGTGGCTTTCTTGCACCTTGTAATCCGCGATCTTGGATTTCTGGCAGGTGAAGTAGTCCGAAGGGAGGATGTCGGGGAAATCCTTGAACTCTTTCCCTTGCACGACCTCGGGGGAAGCGCACATGGGCTGCTGTCTGTTGAAGTTGAGCCTCCACCGCCGGCGGAAGACCCAGAGCAGGCGGCAGTCGCAGGCCAGGGGGTTGTCGTACAAAGCCAGGGTCTCCAGGTTTCCCACCGAGTGGAAGACGGACTCCTCCAGGGTGCTCAGGCTGTTGCCGGACACGTTGAGCACACGGAGGTGGTTGAGTCCTCGGAAAGAGTAGGGCTCGATGGCGGCAAGCTTCCCACCAGTCAAATGAAAAGCCTGGAGCTTCTGCAGATTGAACAGTTGGTTCCCTTCTACGGTATGAATGGGGTTGAAAGACAGATTCAAAAACCGAAGATGTCTTAGGTGGCTGATGGCTTGGTAGGGGATGACAGTAAGATTACAGTTTGTGATAGACAGGGATGTGAGGTTGAGTCCAAACAAGCATTTCGGGGTCATGGTATCCAGGGCAGGCATATGAGAAATCTCCAGCACTCGGAGCCGATACAGTCTCTTAAAGGAGTAATCCCGTATGACAGTGACGTTCAGATAGCGTAATCGGAGTGACAACAGGTTGTGCAGATGGCTAAGGGCGTCAGTGGGCACGGCGGCCAGATTGCATCCCTCAATGTTGAGGCTCTCGAGGTTGCTGAGACCGTGGAACGACCTCGGGGAGATGAACACCAGGTCGTTGTCGCCGACCTCCAAAGCCCTCAGGTTGTACAGCTCCTGGAACATGTAGTCGAGCAGGATGACTATTTTGTTCTCGCTAATATCCAGCTGGGTGAGGTTGGTGAGGCCAGTGAACACTCCCAGCTGGATGAGCTTCAGCTGGTTGCTGCGCAGACCAAGAGTCCGAAGGTTCATGAGGTTGCCGAAAGCCCCGGGCTCGATGGACGAAATGGTGTTTTCGTTGAGCTGCAGCTCCTCCAGCTGAGGGTAATTAATGAACTCCTCGGGGCCCAGAGTCTTCAGCCGGTTCTTGCTGAGGTCCAGCAGCTTCGTCTCGGTGGGGATGCCCTCGGGGAGAGCCGCCAGCCTCCGTCGATGGCACACGACCGAACGCTCCTGGCCGTTGCAGTCGCATCTGGAGGGGCAACCGGTGGTGGATCCGGAGAGGACGGTGCCGAGCATCAGGATCAGGATGGGCTGCCAGCACGCCACCAAGTAGCTGTGCCCCCCTGCCTCCACCATCCTACTGCTTACCTGTGGACACATGGAGAAAGAATCGGGTTATAGCTTTTAATGGATTTCAGGAAGCCCAGGCAGATATGGCTGCTTCCAAAGCATAAAAATAACAGGGTCATTGACACGGTTTCCTGTAAAGATGGAATAAGTGTTAACAGCTCGATTGCAGCATCTGATACTGAAGAGTTTCCCCCAAATTACAGCCACATTTTGACTCCTTTCTCAAAATAACCCACAGATATGAGCTCCATGCGCTTCTTACTTCATGAAACCTTTGGAAAAATGCTTTTTAATAACTTGCAAAGTCTACAGAAATAACAATTCTGCTGGTTTTCTTTTTTTCCTACAAAGATATAAGCTGCCTTCTCTCTCTCTCTCCTTGCATAAAATTTCATTATGGTGGCTTTCCTCACAAGTAATGGAATCAGCCAATCAATAAAAGGGCTTGGTCGCACAGTGTAACCGCCCCGCTGTGCTTCTGACTCCTGAGTGTTGCTGAAAAACGATTACCGCCGAATATCAGTGACACGTCCTCTCCGCTCGTACGGACCATTTTTTAATTAGCAGCCAAAAAATGCCACGGTACGTCCTTAAATGGCTTCCCCCCCTCTCACCCCAAATACATTTGCAAACTTAACACATCCCGTGCCACGGCTGAGCTGTTGACCTTGCAGTGATATAAAACAGATTGCTGCCAAGTGTTGATAGATGGAGGGAGGGAGATTGTCAGAGGACTTTAAACCCCTTATTTGATTTTGACTCAGGGGCACTTTAACTTGGTAAAACCTTCAAGCTCTACTTCTCACATCAATCACGCAATTTAAGCCACGGCTATATCTGTGGGACGCACTCTTAGAAGAGCCTCACGAAAAGTGATTTTGTGATTTATTTTTATTGAGCCTCACCACTGTTTTGTTTACACAGAGCGTCTTGGGCTTGATCGATGCTTTACTTATTTATCTGTGCAGGAAGAAGAGAAAAAAAAGCATCTGAATACCTTTAAAGTAAAGCGGCGATAAACATGCAGTTTATCTACATTATGGTAAATATTAAAGAACAAACAGGGATGTATAGAAAATCTAAATCTAATCTTGCAAAGGGAAACTCCATTACGAGAGGTTAATACAGTCTCTGTCCAAATATTCATCATGTTGTCATAACACGTGGGAGCTGAATAGGCACTGCAGATCCTTTCCATAAGCCATTCACCACAAAATGTTCCAGGAAGAGTGCTTCAGATGATCAGTGTAGTGCTTTTTAGAACCTATTTGGCTGTCTACCATGCAGTTGTAGCTCTGCTAAAAAAAAAAAAGAATTAAATAAAAAATTAAACTTGAGAGCGGAGATTAGAATGATTCTGTTTTCGTTGTAGCGGTACAAATTGCGCACTCTCAGTGAATTAAAGTCACGGCGGCCGAGGCGCCTCGGATCGCCGTCTGAGTAATTCCAATGGAACAATAATTGCAGCTTCCACTTTCACTTCCGCCGGAGCCGCTAATTTCAGTTGGCTGCGTATGTCAGACACTCTGGGAGCGAGTCCGGCCTGCACGGGCCCATTGTGGAAGGCGTCGTGACGGAGCGAGAGTGTCGCCGACCTCCCACTCCTGCATCCCGCTAATTACATGCATTTACAAATGGACAGTTCGTAGGTTCCCCGGAGGTGACGACGACGACGACGTGTTTTCTGAAGCGGAGGAGCTGCGTTTACGTCGTGCAGCTCGACTTGTGACAGATTTACTACGCCAGAGATTCAGTGCAGAAAAAGGAGCGACACGATTATCCGTTTGACGCAGAATGTGATTTTATCTCGTCAAAGCAGGAACGTGAACGAGGAGGAGGCGTGCTGATGTCATCGCTAATCGAAAACAAGCACATGCAAACTCCTCTTTTTCTTTCTCTCTCTCTTTGTTACCAGAGTATCATGCATGATTTATGATTCAGAGCGTAGTAACGGCGGGGCCACTATCTGTGTAATCTGGCCTTACGGTCCATATCTGCTCACTGTATCATCACTTTGCTTTGACCTTGAGCTGAAACTGTGAAAACAAAACAAGTTCCTCGGCTGCAAAACCTCCTATACGCACTTTAGGGCTTTTACATGATGGAGTGAGCTTTAACGTGTGTTTTGCGGTTATTTTATCCCGTGATCTGCTGTATTCTTTGTCCCCACCCCGATTCTTTCCGTTCCTCTTTTTCCGATAGCATTGTGCAGGGGAATAATACGAGTGGACAAGCCTTTTCTCTCTGCCCTTTTATGACTGCTTGCATTTTCTCTGCAGACCTCTCACCCTGTCACAGTCTTCTCTCAAAGGCATGTCTGGGCTCACCATTAGTCTCTCGTTGCCTTGAATTGCCGCAGCTCCTCTCTTGTGGCGCTGCGAGGCCTGATGGAGGCGAAAACCAAGAGGAAAGGTGTGCGCCGCTAATGGGTCACTGAACGTCTGCAGGCGAGCATACAGACAAATGAGCCAGATGCATCGGTGCATACATGCCCTTCAGCGGTTTTTTTCAGTTACTGTTAAGCACCGTCGGTGTGCAGCGTGATGTTGCAAACACGATTAGGATGTTTACATTGAAGGGGCAATTGGGCAACAACAAAAATTATTGAACGCTTTTGTGCATGCAAAGCAAAATACTGTAAAAACCAAATTCAATCTTCATTTGTTGCAAAAGTAATGAGTAATGTGTGTATTTGCCTACTTGTGACTCTTCAGTGCAGCTAAAATGCATCTTAAATCATGTTTCCTTTTGTTTTTGTTGTTGCAACTGCAGTTTTTGTTTCTGAGCAGTGCTGCTTATTGATCCACTTTTGCATCATATCATATGTCCGTCTGTCTTAACCCCATGAATGAGAATTGAATCTTGGAGAAACACAGCTTGCAATGTGGAAATGCCGAGTTTGTTTTTATTCTGCAGTATGTGTTAAAAAAAAAGTCTTTTTTTGTTTTTACTGTTTACAGTCCACCGTTTCTCCCCCACATGTTTCAGTCAGTGATACTTGCTTTTTTGTTTATGACAGTATTGTAGACTCCTTCCACAGCTTTAGTTTTCCTCAGTGTTGTTTCTTCAGTGAACTGTGTGCTCATTAGCACACCTCTTATAGGCTACATAACTTGTTGTTCGGTGGCAAACACATCCCACAGCTTTGATTATCCTGCAGCTGTTTAGAGAATCGCAGAGATGAAACAAAGAGGAAGCTACAGCCGAATAAGAAGGAGTAAAGTGAAGGATTTCAAAGATGGAGATTCTGTGTTTCCTACAGAATTAGATTCTATTTGTGGCGGTAGCTGATGGCAAGGAGCGGGGAGGGAAGGAGGCACACCAACGCTTTTCTTAAATTTCTCAAAATGTTAAATAATGCCATCTATAGGCTGCTGCATTGCACATATTTTAATTGCCAAGCCCTTTGTGAAGAATAAACAACTAAATAAGTGGATGTGGTGCAAGTCCAGCGGCTGTTGTGGGAGCTGAGCAACTCTCTCTGGGTTTTGCATGTAAAGAAGTGAAGTTACCAGCAAGCAGTCGCAGTCTCAGTGGAGAGCACGTCAACAGAGGTTTTCAAGTTGATTTAATCAGTCGTAAAGTGAGCAGATGGGTCCAAATTTCAGTGTCAGAATCCCCGTGTTGTGTGCCATGTTCGCTGCCGCAGAAAAAGACAGAAAGGCCTGGTTCATGTAACGCTACGACGGCGTCTTTCTGCCGCTTCTCATCACTGCTGAGTCGGACAGAAAACGCTAGTTAGCAGCTACAAGTCACGCTAGAGTAAACACGCTTAGCCTTCCAACCACGTTTAACCAATTAAAATAACTTTAAAGGCAGGAGACATGCACGTTAGAAATCACATCAGCTGCAGTACCTGGTTGTTCCACCAGGTGGAGCCTCTCACTGTTTAACCCTGTAGTGACCAGAGGAGGCGTCACTCAGACTACCAGCACTTCATGTTGGCAAGCAGAGAGCATTGTGGGAGTTTAGCGAGTAAAGTTTAACCTCGAGAAAGTGTTTTTTTTTTAATGCTAAATGGCTCCCAGCCAGAGCTGTGATATTTCTGGTGAGTTCGAGTGCCCTACTCAGGCTTCGACGGGCTGCTAGTCAAGTGGTTGTAACAGATGAGCAGCTTGTGGTGTGTGATTTACGCCGCCTGAGTTATATCTGTCGCATCTGACCTCAGCTGGGGCATGTAATGATACCCTCTGAGTTCACTTTGTGTCCTTGATTGATTGATTATTGGGAGATAAGGCAGCCGATCAGTTACCAGCTACGAAAAATATTCTAAATTTGCATCCGTTTAGTAACGACAGATCTGATTAACTTAACAGATTAAATCCAGATGTTGACCTGAGTGCTTAACCAGCATTCTATCATTACTGGGGACCAACACTCCATCAGTATAACGAGTAAATTGTTCGATAGACTGTTGGATAGTTTCCTTACATGCAATAGATGCAAACTGCCATTTAAAAAAACAACAACACAAAAAAACAACAATGCAAACTCCTGTTGTTGGAACAAACTCCGAAACAGCCCCTCATCCTCCATCGTTCTCCTGCGGCTGCTGTGCGGGTCTCCCGAGGCATGCTAGTCTGGGACCTCCCATCACTCCCGTCCATGCCCACGGACCTCCCTTTGTGGAGGAGGCTGTAACCAGCGGGGGGACTGGTGTTCCTCCCTTCCCAGTGTCCCCCACCACCTCCCATCCAAACAGTTCACTCCTGCAGCCTGCTTCCAGGACGTCATGTTTGGTCTAAACCCTAATTTCCCTGCGGTGTTGTGCTTTCACCTTGGTCGCCCTCTTTGCACCTCCAGGTTCCTTTCTTTACCTAATGGGCCTTTTTATAACATGATAATTATTGGCTATATCCACTGAAATAAAACATTTTATCATGATAGACTTTTCAGCTCCGTCGCCCAGCCCTAATTTCAATGCATCAGTTTTGGATAAATCTGTGCAGAGCTGCTCATGACGCTAACCATTCGTGCACTGGATTTTTTATTCAGGAATTCAACCAGCCATCTTCTCT